CACTCTCCTCTCATATTCCAATCATGGCCATGAGTCTCATCGATAAGAGCGTAACTTTTGAGAGAGACCACTGTCTCTTCATCAACCAACGCGCAATCTCGCACGACTTTAAGAAAGTCTAAGAGATTTAAATATAGGTAAGGATAAAGGAATATAACCTTCTTCTAAGCGCATTCAAAGTAGACACCTAAAGTAGATAAAACCTTTTCCAAATATTTATGGCGAAGGAGAGCAAAATTCAAAGAATCTTTTAAAGAGTTCTTCTCATCAGAGACCTCTTTTTCCTTTGCATGAACATCTGCTGACCTTTTCTCTTCTTTTTTCTCAACCTATTGGAGGGACTGAAATAGCCTTTGACTCTCATTTTAGGCATCCATATGCTCTTTGAGTGCCACCTTTAGATATTTTACCAACTTGTCACACATTCCCTACCTTAGCTACTGCAACATGATCACCCTCAGCATAAGGGGGTCTTCATGTTCACAATGGCCGAAATTGGCTTAGAGCAGATGCCTTGATAATCTGGAAGAAAATCTTTTGAGAAGGGGGAATTGACAGCTCTAGAACCGGAGGGAGTCAATATTTGCATCATTCCACCAGCCAGTCGGATCCGAAGGAACCCCTCTTATAGGGGGCTCCTCCATCTTCGTCTTATCGGCAATAGAATAAAGTTAAGTGCCACTTCCACAAAGCGAACATACAACAACGTCAAAGTAACCACAATTATTCCAAATACCTTGGTGAAACTTCTAAACTTATGCGCTAACATTTTGTTTTTATTTTTTAATTAAAAATTTTAAGGTTATAATAATGGTTGATGAGAACATCATGGTGATACCACTAAGGTTTCAAGGGTTTGAACCTTGTCACCCTGAAATAGTTTATTCCTTTTACGTTAATGCGCGCCTTTTAATTTTTATTTATATTAAAATTAAAAATAATAGGGATATAACTACGATTGTTTTGTAAAACCATTGTTACACATTGGCGCTTCTTTATGAAATTTCTTTACGGTTCACAATAATGACCGTGATGATAAACTTATATATATATATATATATATATATATATATATATATATATATATATATATATATATATATATATATATATATATATATATATATATATATATATATATATATATATATATATATATATATATGTATATATATATATATAACTCTCAATATCCATTTTTCCAGTGAAAACAGAAATAAGACGAAACAACCCTAACACTAAAGCCTCGTCATCACCGGGAAGGAAGACAACAACACCGACACAATATTCTCCTTTACGACATTTTTTAGTTTCGTTTCAATGTCGCATTTGAAGACAAACTCATACAAAGGTGTTTATATGTCTTCTTATTTTGTAAAATCTCGATCTGCAAACTTTTGTGGTTGTGATGGTCGTATGGTTTCATACTAATGCAAGAAGGAACAAAATAAAGGAAGACTTTTTTGTAAATGTCCATTTTGGAGGAGTGATGAAACATGTAATTTGTTCATACGGGATGAATACATGAGAGAAAAAGGTGGAAATGAAGATGAGAGTATTATGAAGTCAGAGTTAGAGATGTCCATTTTGAAGGTTATGTATGTAAATTCAAAGAAGAAGACCAAGAATTTGAAGAACAAACTGAAATCAGAGAAATTTTCTGGAAATTTGAAGATGCTATGTTTTCTTGTCTCTTTTATGTTTAATGTTTACTTTTTATGAAATGTAATAGTTGGAGTAGGATTTGAATTCCATTGTTGATGTTGAAACTGTAGATGCATTGAACTTGACATGAACGCAACTAATCGACGGTTTCTTACGAGTAAGTTCATCGCAAACTGTTGAATTTTCAATTAGTTATTTGTTTGTTAGTATATTAGTTGATAGATTTAAGCTTATAAACTTAATCAAATCCCTATATAAAGCCCTAGAGTTGATAAAATTTCATTACATAAACTTTCATTACATAAGCTTTCATTACATAAACTTATGCAAATCTAAATCCTCTGACTGAGAGGAGGTTTGACCAATCATAGTTAGCATCGTCATCATCATCAAAATCAGAAAAAAATTATTTGCCTTCTCAACCTTCTTTTTCTTCTTATTCTTCTTATTCTTCTTTTCCTCACCCTGAGAGCTCTCAAGTACATTTCTGTTGCACAAGACCAGATTATTTCCTCATATTGATTCTGAGGATGGTTTTGCACCACAACACCCTATACAACAACAACAACATCTTGATTCTCAACATTGTTGGTAGATTGAGTAGGAGAACTCATTTTGATTCCTTTGGATGAAGTTTTTTTTGTGTTCTTCCGCTTTTATATTGTCTCTTCTGATTCTTCATCTTCTCTTGGAAGTTTAAAAGCCAAAAGATTCACGCATGTCAAGCCAGTGTGCTCATTTTTGGTTCTTTAATTCTATACGTCTTCTCTTCTCTTGGAAGTTGGAAAGATTTATGCCTACCTTAAGACGTTGAATGATTACATCTCCTTATCTTTTCAAATTTCATTTTCCATTCTTTGATATTCCTTCTTACGTATATTTTGATGTAATAATGGTTTTGATATCAGTTTACAAATGCTGTATTGTTGATTGTGGTATGATACGTTTGAAATATATTCCTAAACAATATCACAATGATTATTACTTGTAACTGTTCTTCTAGGGTGCACATTTTCAAGTTTACTACAACTGTCACTGGACTTTGATTGAAAGTAACACATATACAACAACATGCTACATAACAATGTTTGGACCTGCATGATTATATACCTAATCCAACCATTGTTAAAAGCCTTTTTCATAGTAGTGCATACACAAAGGTATTGAGGACATGATAAATAGGCACCTTTAATTGAGGGACACACCCCTAGCTGAGAGACTCTCCCAAAGACCATGGTTATCCTTGCCTTGAGAAATTAGTGACATGGAAAGGGGCGCGTTAGGAAAGTTAAAAAAACTCCTCTTTAGAAAATCCCTTGTGATTAAGGGAATATGTAGTGTTATGTTTTATGGATGCCCTAAACCAGAGTGCCCTTGCCCAGGATACCCATCACCCAGGTGATGACCTCAAAACCTGTCCAGAGGAAACCCTAATGTATATGCAAGACAGAAGGAGTCCTTGGTAACTCTTGAAATATAAGTGGTAAATAACTCCCCCAAAAAATGAGGGAATGGTTGACGCCACTAAGAATGACTTAAACCCTAGGTCCTAGAGATTTATATAATACATATTCTCTCAAGAAGAACTAATAGACCCTAAGTAATACAAATTCTTTACACCCTAAAGAGCATAACACTCACTACAGTCTTAACACATGACCACCGACGAATGTACACTTGCTACCAAGGATCATCGGTCATCAACAGAGCCTTTCACCTCACATGATATGGTCTCCTTAATCACCTTAAAATACCACCATACAAGGCTTCTCGCTGTCGTGGGCTAGTCCTCATCTCCTAATCGTGTTATAAACCTACTAAGGCCTCTGAGTCTTCCCGACCTTGTAGGGGGAACATGCACACTTTTAATTTTTGACCAGTACACGTTTTAATCTATAAATACAAATTGTTGTAAAATTCAGCAGCTTCTTGATCATAATCCTTTTGAATCTTGGTGAAGATCAAATGCTCAATTTTATTGCATAACCATATGTGTATGTCATATATTTTCAATTGTTTTGCATGTATTTATTTTTGGTATAAAATTTACAAAGGTTAAATAAGGAAAATATTTTATCATGTTACAAGACAAGAGATTATGTAAGGAACATCAACCTTAAATAAATACTTTTTCTTGCACTTGCAATCAATCCCATGCATTATTCACACACTTCTTTAAGTGTAACTTTTTAAAATATTAATATTTTTATTACAAATGTTTGTCATTCACAATGTAACATCCACAATATATATTTTTGGCTTTCATGTTCGAATTGATTAACACGAGGATCTCACGTGGATAACTAATGTTTCTTATGAATTGATGGATTAATAATGCCTTGAGCATTGATAATCAATACAATGATGGAAAATACTCGTTTATAATCAAAATCGTAACACTTTTCCCTCAAATAACACCAATGTAATTTGTTATTTCTTTTTGAAATAAAAAATAAAATAAAATAATGACTTTTTTCTTCTGTTTTCAGCCTACCCAAGGAAGTAGATTACTTATATTGTAGATCCAAAAAGAAAATGGTGAATTGTAATGTATATCACTTACATATTTTTACAGTCCACTATTTTGTTTTTATGTTGCAATATTTTTAAATAAGATTAGTAATCGGTTTATAATATTTCCAGTCAAGAAAAGAATTAAATCAATGAATTTTTCTCTTCGATGACAATATTCATAAATTATTTCCAAATATAAAAATGGATTAATATTTCAACAACAACAATGTCATTCCCTAAAATAAATTGCAAGAGAGGAAAAGTGTTTTGTTCAAGGTTGGTAAAATAAGTTTCTTCATTGAATGAATGTAACAATAACAACAAAAATAAAAACAACTATGACCACGACAATGACAACAACAAAGACAACACGACGACAACAATAACCACTACAAGAAAAAGTGTTTTACGACACAAGAGTTATGACCATTGTTAAAAACTGCACTCTTCCCTTCACCGTGACAGACATCAGGGCGATTGGAGATAAGTGTCTCTGGTTTTATTTGCATGGTGACTATCATAGGTACGGAGATTGACAAGGAAATATCCTCCTTTCTCACCATTAACTTTCATTTTCCTGCCTTCTCACTTTCACATAATTTACACAGAATGGGCGTTGAAATCTCTTTCCTCAAAACTCTCAATATTTTTTTCTTAAAATTGAAAAACACCTCATATCTCTCTTCAAACAACAAGAAGCATTCGAAAAATGCATCCTCCATTTCAATTCCAGCAATTTAGATTCTTCAATTTCTTAATATTTAAGTTTCAACGAGGTTTGATTTCAAAAGGTTTTTCAATTTCTTCATTTTCGACTTTCAATGAGGTCCAATTTCAGTATGGTTCTTTTAACTTCTCCCTTTTCGGAGTTCAATTTCAACGAGGTTCTTAAATTTCTTCAATTTCAACGAGGTTTTTCAATTATTCAATTTCAAATTCCTACGAGGTTCGTTCAATTTCTTCATTCTTCTTTTGACCTAAACCTTATTTGCTTATGTTATGATGCTATTTCATTTTTGCCTATTTTGTTGTCGAGATTGAAGTGTTTTACTATGTTTGCGAATAGTTCCCTGCATCCCATTGACAAACCATACCCCACACATCATTGCGCCATAAATTCTCCTTAACACTAATGCTTATTTATCATATCGCCACCGTCTAAATCATAGGCGTGTGCTCATTTATCATGATATGTTGATAGCATAGGCATGTATGTTGATATATCATGCCGCCAAAAGCTTAGGTATGTATGTTGATTTATTGTAAAACCATTGAAAGTGTGTATATTAAAAGTTGTATCACATTCAATAAATTTTGTATTTCTTCTATTCAAAAAAGTTAACTGGTTTTCCTGTGGATTCTAGCCTTGGATTTTCCGATTTGAAAATGTGAAAGGGTGTCTTCGAGAGCTTTCATAGTGCACAAAGTAGAATTTACATAAGTCGGTTGAGCTTATGGACCTTCTAGAAAAATTGTTGTATTTGATACTAATCTACACTTTTCATATTTATGTAGTGTTTTTCATTGATTTTTCAGTTGATAAAGCACTGTGTCACTTATACGTTAATGCATTTATTGATTACTCAATTATTGTACTCAACACCTAACTTGAAATTCTTATTCATTGACATTATATCGATTTCTTTTAGTTTATTTACTTGAAATTCTGATTTCAGGACATTTAATCTCTTATTTTTGGTTTATTTACTTGAAATTCTTATTTCATGACATTTTATCTCTTACTTTTGTTGGGGGAGTTCACTAGGGAGCATTGATATACAATGTAAGACTAGGCACCTTTGTGAGAGACATATCATTTGTCTACCTAAAACCTTAAGATGATAGGTGAGTGGGTTCTCCTTAAGTGGAAACTCTTTTATCCACATACACTTGTACTATCGTTGACACCTTATAATGGGAGATCACTTTTCTCGAAACTAAAGGCTCGTGATACCAATTGTTGGGGGACTTCACTAGGGAGCATTGATATATAGTATAGGACTAGGCACCTTTGTGAGAGACACATCACTTGTCCACCTAAAACCTTAAGGTGATAGGTGAATGGGTTCTCCCACTTAGAAATGTTCAAGTCACCATATTCCTATCCAATATGGGACTATCTACCACACTTGCTATCCTCATCTGTGAGTCCACAATGCTTCCCCTCAAGTAGAAGCTCTTTCTTCCATATACACTTTTCAACATGACAATCTTTACCCACATGCGAGACGCTTACCCTTGCCCATGTGGGGTACTTTTCGATACAAGTAAGTCAGTCCCTTTTTGAAACCAATGGCTCATGATATCATTTGTTAGAAGAGTTTACTAGGGAGCATTGATACATAGTATAGGACTAAACACATTTGTAAGAGACACACCACTTGTCTACCTAAAACCTTAATGTGATAGATGAGTGGATTCTCCCACTTATAAATATTCAAGTCACCATATTCCTATCCAATATGGAATTATTTTCCCACTTATTCATACTTGCATTATTATTCTAATAACTTTTAGTTGATGTACATGTACATGGTATGATTAAGATGCCAAAACCTCCTCTAGAACACTTAGATACTAACCAACAACTTTCATATTTCTGTAGTATTTTTCATTGATTTTGAGTTGATGATGCACAACGTCACCCATACACTTCACCACTTCATGACATTGATGATTGTTTTATTTGAAAAGGTTAATTTCCTCGATAATTAAAACATCTCGTGAGCGTTAATTCACAACATCTTTTAAACTACTATTCAACAAAATGGTATTGTCATTTTTTCTCAAAAGTTGGTATAATATTTTTTTTGAGATTTCGACAATGTTAGGATTAGAGGTGGTAAAGTGGGTGTCCCGCCTCATTTAGGCATGTCCCGTTTAAGCTCGTCCAAATGTGAGTCTGGACAGGCGGACCAACTTAGGTGTCCGAGCTCAAAAGTAAAGTCTGATTCGTTTACTAACGAGTTGGTTGATTGGCGGACCAAGCTGCCATTTTTTTTAATTTTATAATTTAATTTATTATATAATTTACAATAAATTTAAGTATTATCAAAGAGGCCGACAAAAGATATTTTTTAACACCGCATAATAGAACTTCAATATGTCTTAAGTTCAACCATTTCAAAAAATAAAATAAATAAAGACCAATTACAAGAAAAACCTAACGAAATATACTCAAGTCAATAAAAAATCAAAATAAATAAATAAACAACACATATCATCCTAATCATATTTAAAAACTAATTATTAAAAGAACTCAATTAGTAATTTGTACAAGACAAACAATGATAATAATTACAATGCATAAAATAGTAGTGCATAAAATATAGACACCTGACTTTTTCACTTTATTATATAGGCTCTTATATTGACCGATTCATTAATAGTTATATCATAAATTTATCACACGTATACATTAATCAACTCCTTCTTTTTCTTAAAATCAACATCAATTTCTAAAGAAAATATGTGAGCTAATGTATTGACAACTTAATAATTCTTTATGCCATACAATTGTTCTTTTATTTCAAACTTTTCCAACTAACACATATATTAAAAAGTTATAGAAAGAACCTTACAATTATAATTCAATTTGTTTTACATAACAATTTATAATGCAATTTAATCAACATAATCTTAAGAGAATAGTGTTATTTTATAATTAAAGTTGTTTTAATTCTAAATAAAAAAATAAAATGTTTTAACAAAAAACTCGCGGGTAAAATCCGCTCCGCCCCGCTTCAGCCTACTTTTTAAAGCGGGTTAAGTGGAACCGACCAATTTAAAATATCGTGTCAAAAATTTCAATCCAACCCACTAAAAATAATTGTTGAAACGAGTCGACCTAGCAGATCCGACCCATTTTACCACCATAGTTAGGACACTCAGTATTAATGTTTTAAAATTTATGGTATTATAAGATATTAGAACAAGTTTTGCAATTAAATAAATCAAATTATGGTTATAAAGAGTTGATCTTAGTGCTTTGTATGATTGTTTAAATTTATGTAAATGATATTATTTTTTATTTTATATATATTAATTATTAGCTTTGTCAATAAATTTAAGAGATAAAGCAAAAAGAGTTTGAAATAAGTATGATTAGAGGATTTAAATTTTTCCTTAACATATATATATATATATATATATATATATATATATATATATATATATATATATATATATATATATATATATATATATATATATATATATATATATATATATATATATATATATATATATATATATATATATATATATATATATATATATATATATATATATATATATATATATATATATATGTCAAAGTAAATATAAAAAGGAACTATTGAGAAAATTTAAACTTGAAAGTTGCAAGCAAATTTTGAAACTCATGCATGCTACATATAATCTTGAAAAATATGAGACAATCTAAAAGGTAGAATAAAAAGTGTATCGATGTATGATAGATTTTCTTTTTTATCTTACAACCTCTATATTTGATATTTTATTCGATATGTGTTTGTGTGTTCGTTTTGAATCAGATTATAAAAATTCTCATTTAACAATTGTTAATAGAACTTTAAAATATCTCAAATGAACTACTAATCTTATTTTGCTTTATAAAAAATTATTTGACCATAAGTTAAGGGATGATGACTATACTAGAGATAGAATTGAAAGAAATAACATTAATGGAAGTTATAAATTTTCTTATGAAAACCTCATTTTTTGGTCAAACTATAGAATTAGCAATAGCTGAAGTAGAATATATTTCAACCAAAAAGTTAATGAACCAACAACCAAAAGATTATCAGATAAAAAAAGTAACATTTATATTTTCTATAATAATTATTAATAATACTTTTGCTATTTGTTTGACTAAAAATCATATTTTACATTCAAGGAGTCAAACACTCAAAGTCACTATTCACTAAGAATTGATAAATAAAATACATATCAATTATAAGAAAATAATTACCCAAATTTACCAATGGATAAAAACTAGTTATAAGGCTTCTGAGCAGAAAACACAACAGAGGGTTGCTGAAATTTTCTTTATTAATCGATATGAGAATGAGATGTCTGAAGATCTTTAACCTTCCCCTCGGTCACTCAAATTGCTCACTTGACTGTGCAATACTCTGCAAATAAAAAGGCATTTAATTAGTCAGGCCTTACACAATTATGCAGGGAATAAATAATAAAGTTATCCCCATAACTAAATTATTTTTTATAAAAAAGTAAAATATAGAGAATTTTGAAAATATAATGCAAAACAATTACAAAAAACCAAGTCTGCATAATAAACAATTGAACCTTATATAAATAACCAATTAAACTACTAAAAAGAGAAAAAAATAGGTATTCATCAAGCTTTGTATGCATAATCTATAATAATAAAAATGATACCAACCCTGTTAAAACAAAATTAATGCAACATGTAAATAGATTTCGATACATTGTATAAGATTCTTGTACCTGCACTGATTATTGTTACTATAACACATGGATGAGGAAAGCAACCATTTTTAGAAGATTTAACATGCATAAACTTATAAAACATATTACAACATAAAACACTTCCAAGCAGTGACCACAACATACATAGGATATTAGAACTCAAGTCAGTTACACATGCATAAATAACAGTCAATAACACAAACATAGCTAGTTATCAACATTTCCAACAAACATAAAGCAATAACTTATTTATTTATTTATTTTTAGAAATAAAGATTATATTAACCAAAAACAGATCGATACAAAGCGATCCATAAGGTCGAGCAAAGAAAAAACTCATTCCGGCCCGTCTAATTAAGACAACAAAAGTTGGGCAATTCTATGTCTATACTTACGAAAGACTCACACTCTATTCACTATATTATCCACAATGGGACTAACCGTATTCCTAATAGTATAATTTTTATTATAGACAACCCTATTTCTATTCCACCAGATCTCATAAATTGTTTCCGCTATGGCAATCTTTAAGAATTGACAACGTCAATTCTTGCTCCTACACACTTTCACAATCCACTCAAGTTCATGATTTCAGTCCAGAATATTATGGTTAACATTTAACCACCTAAGGACTCCCTCCCAAACAACACTAGTAACACTGCATTCAAAAAACAAG